CCCTGCGAAAGAGCTGCCGCTTCCCACCACTTTTCCTGCAGCCTTGCTCGCTGGCTCACCGGCTGGGAAACCCCCTTGGCACCGTGGATTCGCGCGCTGGGAAGCGCGGGGCGGCCGCAGGCTCTGGAGGACGCTCCGCGCCGCGTGGAGCCCCTTTCTTTGCAAGGCCCAACTGGAAGATGCTCAAGGGCGAAGCCGACTCGGCAGCCCCGTGCGAGAGGCACCGGCCCCAGGCCGGGCTCCCTGGGGGCTCCCGCTGTCCGTGAGGCCGCGGGGGAGGCCGGGATCCTGCGCCGGCCCCGCACGGCTCCCGGGGGACAGGAGGAGGCGGGAAGGCCTCGGCAGCCTCTGCTTTGGCCGCGTTTCGGGGCGAGCGGGGCCCTCTGCGCCGTGCCAGCCTCGCGCCAGCAGGTTCCTTTCCCCTTTCTGTACCCAGGCTCCAGGCTGTCCTTTTCTAGCTCCGGCTTTCCTCCTTTTTCCAGATAAGGTGGCATTTTCTGCCTTGCAGGCCAAGGTCTCATCCCTGTGCCGGGTACCGGGATGGCAGGATGGTCCCTGCTTGCCCTGGCAGAGGGTCCTGAGCTCCAGCTAGTGAAAATCGACCCTTTTTGCATTATGGCTTATATTTGAAATATTTAACAGTCGTCTTTTTTGTTTCGTCAATGCTGTCCCCGGTGTCATCCCTGCCGAGAAATTTCGGCTCATTCCTGTCCTGAAGCCAGGTTGAGGAGCACAAAACTTTCCGTGCTGGACCTAGCAAACAAAAAGCTGTTTATTCTGCTTTCCTCCTTCGTTTCTTCTTTTTTTTCCCTCTCTCTTTTAGTTTTGCAGAGACAAGTCAGGAAGATCACGAATCTCCTGCGGGGCTGGTGGCTTCAGAGGCTCTAGCAACCCTGGGGTGAAGTTTCAGAGGAGTGGGAAATGGAAACCCTTTTTTTTTGACCAAAAAAAAACACACAGGAAAAACGAAGGAAAGCAAACCAAAGCTAAATATAGAAGGGATCGTGAGTGGGATTTAGCCTCACATGATGTTTTTGGTGAAAAATGGGTCGCTTTGGAAAAACAAGCGTTCTGGGAACGCGGCTCCTGCTGGGGCGATGCTGCGGGGCGCGTGTTGGTTTTGCTCCGGCTTGGTGAGGACCATAGTCTGATCGCGTTGTTGGATCATTTGCTGCTTTTTTAATTTAAAAAGTTGCGCTTGAGTAAAGGGTGACGCTGTCAGGTGTCTGCTGGAGAGAGGTGTTATCCCAGGTGTCCACAGGCCCTGGGAAGCAATACCTCCATGTCCCAATGGCTTTAGTGTAATTTTGAGGGTAGAGAAAACAGTGACTGGGGTGGCTGGAGGTCATGTGCTCCATAGGGGGGGATCCGTAGCTACCTGTCGGATGCAAATTTGGGAAGCAAATGGCGATGGTGAGGGTGGAGGAGAGGGGAAGAAGGGCAGGAGGCTACTGGCCTCCTTCTATCCACGGATGATGGTCTGTGTCCCGCGGAGGAGACACCAGGGAGCGTTTTCCATCAGGAACGAGTCCCGTGATGGGAGCCCTTCCTCCTCAGGGGGCTTCGCTCCCCTTCTTGGTGGGTCCCCATGTGCACGTCAAAGCGCGGGGCTGCTCGCACCTAACCTTCTCCTTCCTCTCCTCTCGCCACCCAGAGTCCAAAGTGTTCCTCATCTACAACACGGGCCTGCAGAGCTGCCTGGACACCAAGGACTCGCTGGTGCGGCTCTCCAAGGCCTGCAACGCCAGCGCCCCGGGCCAGCAGTGGAAATGGGTCTCCCGGAACCGGCTCTTCAACGTGGGCGCCATGCAGTGCCTGGGGGTGTCGTGGCACGGGGCCAACGCCACGGCGCGCCAGCACCCGCTGGCCACCTACGAGTGCGACCTGGAGTCGGTCAACATGCGCTGGAGCC